AAATGCCGGGCCGGGCGGGGTTGGGGGCGGGGGCGGCGGCTACCAGAGCCAAGCGGCGGCGCCGCCGGGGAACATGGCGGACCCTCTTTCCCTTCAGAGGGGCTAAGACCGTCATGCACCGCGCGTGCGGGGGCGGGGGCGGGACAGGCTCTAGGGACTTGAGCAAAATTACTGTACCTACTACCGAAACGCGAGCAGGCCAAGGGATCAGGTGAAAATTCCTTGCATGCATAAACACTTGACAGTAAGGAGAGAGTGCAGAATGGATTTAAGGGCTGCGATGAGTGCAAGGAAGAAAGGACATTTCCCTGGCCTTCTTGGAGCCCAGGAGAATGAAGAGACGTAGTCAGAGCTCAGAATTTCCTACTAGTAGACAAATATATGACAATTTACCTACAAAACCATAATGGTATACTGGAGAAAAGAATGAAGGAGTCATTCTAGACTAAAGAAGTGGCATTATCATTTAAAATGGAATTTATCCTGTAACCTCAGACCTAGGGAGTCAGAGGAAGGCAGGAACTCTGTGAGTTCAAGTGTAGCCCGGTCCAACCAGTCAGGGCAACAAAGTGAGGATCTGTCTCAAAAAAAAAAAAGGCCAGGGTAGGGTGGGAGAGGTGGGCGCTTGGCATAGAATTCTGACCCTTGCATTTAGAGTTTGGAATGGTCAAGAATCTGAAGGCATTTAATTAAGTTCAGCACCAGTCAGGGGAAGTGAGGGAATGACACCAAGAGATACTCACCTGGGAACGCCACAGTCTCACTCTTAATTCACGCAGGGAAATTATCACATAGTGTATATGTGACATACATGTATGTGAAATATATGTGAAACATATGTGGGATATATATGGGGAAGAGTTGGAAAGCAGAGACTAGGTAGGTAGAAAATTGAAAGTTAGTTCTTTTATCTTTGTGCATACATAGAATTTGGACCAAGGCAACTTACAGAAACAGATCAAATTGACCAGCATCTATGAGGTCAAGGAACAAGAACAGACCATTCCATCAATACTGGTTAGTGACTATGAGATGGCTCAGGTGGTAAAGGCACATGCCACCAAACCCAGTGATGGAACCACAGGGCACACAGGTGAAAGGAGAGAACCGACTCCTACAACTTATTCTCTGACCTTCTCTGTCCCTCTCACACTACACAAATTAACTACAATTTTATAAAAGATTAGAAGAGTGTGTATGACACCAGCTGTGTTGGATGGCTCAGGGGCCAGCTATCTACTAAGGCCCATGTGTCTACATGGTGTAGGATCCAAATAGGATGGAGCAGGAATCTGTCCCAGACAATGACTGGGGAAGCAGTAGAACAAAGGTCTCGGCATCTTTTACTTCTTTGTGTCAATCAATGAGCCTGAGTTCTGGGATAAATAAGGAGGGAAAACCCAGCGGACATTCTTTGCAAAGGGAACCTACCAAATTATTTTATGTGTCTATGTGTCTTGCCTGCATGAATGTCAGTGCACCACGTGTTCAGTCCCCACAGAGGATAAAGAGGTAGTTCTGTTCCTGGGACTGGAGCTAAAGAAGGTTGTGAGTGGGTGCTGGCAATCAAACCCAGGTCCAGTGGCTGAAGAGCCTGTTCTTGTAATCACTGTGCCATCTCTCCAACCACTGCAAAATACCTTTTAAGGGAAAGGGACTTTTGGGGGTGTGTCATGGGTGAAGATAAAGTGTACCATCACAGAGATATTTTGACTCTTAAGGGGAAAAGGAGTGGGGTCATAGGAGGAGAGCAAGGGGTGGGGGCACATCACAAACCTGTGACGCAGAGAGAAAGGGCACCATGAGCAGTACTTGTACCGCGAGTGAGTATGTCAGGTCAATGTGAATGCCCAGAAAATCTTAATAAGGGGAAGGAGCAAGTGTGTACTGTACTGAGTGTCCAGGCAGGAAAGGGATGGGAAACATGCTAGCAGCCATAACAAAAGAAAAAATACTCTTATTTAAGGATATATTGACTCCAACAGTGACTATTTATTTTCCAACTCCTTTTTGGCTATTCATTTTCACTTGGTCAAAAGCCATTTTATATAAATGTCCAGGCCTCCTGACCCCAGAAGAGCAAGAACATACAAAAGGACAAGAGATTAAATAGAACTATCTTATAGATTTATTAATGAAAAATACTTTACAAAAACAGTATGCTTTGCCCTAAAATAGTTTAGCTGACTCTGAGAGTTTACAACAGCGATGAGCAGGTGGCAGTAATGGCTGTGCTGCTGAGGACAGGAGGGTGTTAGTGTGCCCAACTCCATCTGTTCAGAAGGGCCAACACTATCGGCAGCTCCACATTCTAGGCCTAAAGTCTGAGTCACGAGGAAGGCTGACAGCCGTAATACCTGGCAGCTGGGCTTCCCATCCAGATGCAGTCAGAATCATGACGGCAGGGAAGAAAGAGTCCAGGCACTAAGTATAAGTAGGGAATATAGTAGGGACCAAAAGATGAGGGCTCAGCTGGGGATCAGGGTATAAAAGGAACCAAGAATGAAGTAATGTCTTAAACACTAAGGAACAGCAGGTGTCCAGAGGAATAAAATAGGTTCAACGTTAAAGTGGCTCAAATCAAGTCTGAAGCATCAGCTGCTTCCATTGGTTAGAGGAGCCAAAGTTCTGAGTTTTCTTTTCTCTTTTCTCACCTCCCCGCCTCCCCCCGCCCCCCAGGGTCTTATGTAGCACAGACTAGCCTAGAACTTGCTATGTAGCCAAGGATGAACCTGAACTTCTGATCCTCCTGCCTCCACCTCCCATGTGCTAGGATTACAGGTGTGCACCACCATGCCCAGTTTTACATGGTGCTAAGGATCTAACCCTGGGCTTTGTGCATGTTAGGAAAACACTCTACCAACTGAGCTACAGTCCCAGCTCTAAAGCTGGAATTTCAAACATTCCCTCTCAAAGAAGCAAACACCCTTAGGAAAAGCCAATTCTTTTGTTGTGGTGATTTTGCTTGGTAAAGCAGTCTCTTTTAGCCCAGTCTCCGGCCTTGAACTGCTGATTCTCCTGCCTCTAGCTCCCAGCTGCTGGGAGTACAGGCATATGATGATGGACTGAAGGTGCCAATTCTACGTTGAGATGATCACAGCGTAACTGGCAGGTTTCAACTCTGCCATGGTACAGCTTTATAGAGAAAGGTGTGGCTCCAGGAAAGGGAGGGTGGTCCTTACCACCTGCTGTGCGGGAGAAATCTTGCCCTGTTCTGCTCTCTTCCAGGGGCATTTGATAGAAGAAACGTAATTCTCTCCTCATCAGTCCTCCTTTGCCTACGCTGGGAGGGGTAAGTGCTCTGTCTCCAGTCATCATCTGGGGGCATATCTATTCTTCGAGGGCCAGGTGTTCGAGACCCCAGGCCAGGACCTGAATTCCAAGCTGACTTAAGGGGTAAATGAAGACTGCTGGATGGTGAGGACACTGGGTGAACAGCAGGAGGCTGTGAGGGTGAATGGAAAAGACTCCCCCAGGACTGAGCATGAGGAACGTGAAGGCCCTGGCTTCGTTCTGGTAGTGTGGCAGTGTAGGTTAGCTGAGGCTTGCATGCTGGCGTAGTTAGGACTCTGGTCCCAACATGCTGGTTGGTCTCTGACCCCAGTCCCCAGGAAGCATCAGTTCTGGAACGATGGGGTAGACTTCGGTAGTTCAAAGTCCTTCCTGTGTACTTGACCCCTTGGGGAGTTTCATCCCTGTCACACATAGCCAGAAACTGTGGGACACTCCTCGAAGATCCTAAGAAGAGAAAAGAACCCCAAAGACTGAGTGAGTATCTTTAGAAAAGAATTCTCCTTCCCAAAGAACTACTCCTGGCTGTTTTGCCCAGTTCTTTACTTGTCCAAGAATACACGCACAGGGAAAAAAGAAACCTGGTTTTGCTTTTGATATATATACTTAATTTTTTTTTCCAGTACTGGGGATTGAACCCAGGGCCTTGTGCATGCTAGGCAAGCACTCCACCACTGAGCTATACCCTTAGCCCTAAAAACTCCTATATATTACATTAAAATCAATCTCTTCTATTTTGGGGGAAATAAAACAGTCTCTTGGATATTGCCATACCTACCTCCACGGTAATCTTTCTCTAACACACTCATGCACACACATATATAATGCCTGCACGAGAGTGGCTAGTTAATAGAACAAATATATCCCCTTGCAAACTCCTTCCGCAATTACACTAAAATTTCACTTGGCTTCTCTTTCTTTTTTAAAAGATATATACATTTGTGTGTGTGTAGGGGGTGTGGGTGGAGGTGGAGGTGTGTGTGTGTGTGTGTGTGTGTGTGTGTGTGTGTGTGTGTGAGAGAGAGAGAGAGAGAGAGAGAGAGAGAGAGAGAGAGATTGATTCTCTGTGTAGCCTTGACTGTCCTGGAACTTGTTCTGTAGACCAGGCTGGCCTCGAACTCACATAGACCCACCTGGCTCTGTCTCCTGAGTGCTGGAATTAAAGGTGTGCACTATCACTGCCTAGCTTTTTTTTCCCCCTTTCATTCACTTGGCTTGTCTTAGCAGTTAGGTCTCCTTTACTTAAATTCTTGTTTTTGAATTTCTGAAATCTCTGCTGTTGTGCATACCACTCTTACCTCACATACAATATAGAAAGTCTTTTCTATACATTTCTTTCACTATGGCATTTGTGACATTGTGGGCTGATAATTCTTTACTGGGATCAGAAAGGACTGCCCTGTGCATGATATGATGTTTCAAAGCATCTTCATCCAACATCTGTTAGATGCCAAGTGGTATGTCCTCTTTCCCTACTGAGAACCACAGACTTCAATGTAAGTTAAACCCATAAGGAGGAAAAAGTGAGCATCACTGATCTGTGGAGGTCAATGGAAGCCAGAATGGTGCTGCCCATCTTCCTCGGACCGTCTGGACCTGGACACAGGACACAGGACATGGGTTCTCAAGTACAGTGTCTTTCTAGTCTTCATTCACTTCTGTCCCCATACACCATCCCTCAGCTGAAACTCAATAAATAGCAGGGGAGGAAACTAGCTCAAGAGGTGACACTTTCAGTCCGGGGGAGGGGCCCAAGACTAGTTCCTAACTACACTTCACACTTAAAACCTTACTGCATCACGACTGAAACAGTTAGGTTCACTCTCATGAATAAAGAAGCATGGTGTCTAAAAATGTATTCAGTCATACTTCATGAAGATCAGTGCTTGACCTTAAAACAGCAATTCATATATTCTTTCCATTCCACCTTGGGACACCCTACTTTCCCAGTAGGTACACATTTTGCCCCTGAAAAAGAATCACATTTTAGCAGATAGTATTAGTTTAGGGGTGTTACCTGGGGGTCTATAGGGCTCCCCTGCCGTGCTGGGCATCAGAACATCAGGGGACAGGAACTTTGGTTGGGGAGGGTAGAGTTTAGGATCAAGGAGCAATACAGGAGGGTCATGGATGACAGGGAGGGAGGAGGAGCTGGAACAATGGTGCCCGGTTTCCAAAGTCTTTTTCCTCACGTTTGATGAGTCCTTTCAATGAGACAAGACAGAAAACCACACAAAGATGAGGGTTAACATGGCAGATGTGGCTGGATAAACACAGTGAGGAGCAGGGAAAGGGAAGACACTAGAGCACAGCACCCCTTTTCTAGAGAGGGACGCACACCGCTCCACTCCACCCGCTGTGGCTCTTCCTAGGAAACGCCCAGGGCCCTCTCCTTCTACCATCTCCATCACATCCTCTACCCCAAGTCCACCATCTGGGTCTTTAGCAATCTATTTAATGCTAACAGTACAATTAAAGAGATTCTCATAGGAGCTGAAAGCTGGGCATGTTGATCCACGCACACCCATAATCAGAGCACTCAGGAGACTGAATAGGACTGCTTTGAGTTTAAAGCTAGTTTGGCCCACAGAGTAAGTTCAAAGCCAGTCTGGACTACACAAGCAGTACCCTTTCTCAAAAAAAGAAAAGAAACCACAACCATGAACCAAATAGGGGTTGGGGGTCTAGTCTGACTATAGAGTAGGCCCTAGGTTCAATCCCTGGTACCCCCAAAATAAAGGAGACCGAGGACAGGAGAGGAGAAAGAGAAGGAGGTGGAGGGGGTATTTGAACAGACTAAGGGACTGAAAAGAATCTACACTGGGCACTGAACTACCTACTGAAATACACAAGTGAACTCTTCTCCACCTCTGCCCAGCCACAGCTCCATTCCACAGCTGCCTCTTCTGTTTGCCATTTCTAGTTGCTTATGCCCTGCCATGGCTCCATTCACTTTTGTGGTGAAGAGCTAGAAATATTTCCTTTATCATCAGAAGCATTAAAACATCCAAAATTGAATGAAGTTTTCAAAACTCCTCTTTCTTGTACCATACTTTTCTAAGTTACTCAGACATAAACATTGGTGTTGTCCTTAACTTCCTATTTCCATTCACCATCACCAGAAAGACGTTTCTACTTATGGATTTCACATTTAAATTTGCCTGGACCACTGCAAAAGCCTTAATCTGATCTTCCCATCTCCTGTTCCTGCTTAAGGTAATCTGTGTTACCTGTCACAAGGTCCCATGTGACCCAGTGTGACTGATCTCACCCAATCCTGTATTGTCTCTATGCCCTTTACACACCCTCATTTTTCTTTTTTTCTTTTTCTTTTCTTTTCTTTTTTTTTTTTTTTGTTTGTTTGTTTTTTTGTTTTTTCAAGACAGTTTCTCTGTGTAGTTCTGGTGCCTGTCCTGGATCTCACTCTGTAGACCAGGTTGGCCTCGAACTCACAGAGATCCGCCTGGCTCTTCCTCCGAGTGCTGGGATTAAAGATGTGCACCACTGCTGCCCCCTTCTTTTTTCTTATTTTATTATTTTGAGATGGAATCTTGTTATGTAGCCCAGGCTGACTCAAAGTTAAAATATACTGCTGTGGGATAACCCCTCTGTATGCTGTGAATATGTTTTATTACCACTGGTTAATAAAGAAGCTGCTTTGGCCTAGAGCAAGGCAGGATAGAGCCAGTTGGGAAATCTAAGCAGAGATACAGGGAGAAGAAGGGTGGAGTCCGGGGCAGATGCCAGCAAGGCGCTGGAGCGACGACAAGATATACTAGAGAACAAGTAACGCTACAAAACCACATGGCAGAATAAAAGATTAATAGAAATGGGTTAATTTAAGTTATAAGAGCTAGTTATTAATAAGCCTGAGCAATAGGCCAAATGGTTTGTAATTAATATTAAGCCTCTGAGTGATTATTTTAAAAGTGGCTGTGGGACCGGGGAGAACAGAAAAACCTCCATTTACATAAAACACACCTGCCTCAGCCTTACAAGTATAAATATTACAAGCAAGCACCATCACACCTAGCCATTCTTAATGTCTCTCAAACACACCAACTCATCCTATCTCAGGCATTTACACCAGCTTTTCTGTTACCAGGAATATTCTCTCAGGGCCCAAAACTTCCTATCACTGAAATCTCTGATCAAATGTTAATTAATTCCTCTCAAAGATGGTATCTTTACTACCCTAGCCAAAAACAGCTCTAAGGAGACATTACCTCTTTAACACCTCATTCCTTTGACCTACTTTAGTCTTCATTATCATACTTACCACTGTCTTAGGTTATATAATTTGCTTATTAAGTGTCTTTCTTCTGTAGAGTACATTTAATTTCAGTATCCCTAACATCTGAAACAATGCAAGGACTTAGTCAACAAGACGTCGTAAGTCAGTTACCACCCATATGCCAGTCTACTGAGCTTCCTTTCCTAGGCGGCAAGCTGCGCAAGGGCAGAACCTGTGTTCGCTCATCAGCTGTGTTCCTAACAGTACGAAAGTGTCTCACGGAGAAAGGATTTCTAGTACCATCCCCATTTCCCCTTTGAGCTCCTGCCGCCTTTTCTGTATTGTTTTAAGCTTCTTCAGAAAAAGAGCCACTTTACATGTGACACTCTTCACAAGAACGTCCTAACCATTGCCTATCTTTATCATGCTTTGCCCTCTTTCCAGTGGCTAGGAGTCCCAACCAATTCTCAACTTCTAGTCCATAGGTCTCATACTCAGACAGTACAAGCTATCTTCAGGAATGAATAATATGCCCAAAAAGAATTGTGTAATGCTCCCATACAATTATCAACCCACAAAACTTGACTACCATCCTTGGTTCCTGGCACCAATCTCATTCTTCTTTACGTCCTACCTGACTCCCCACTATATAACTTCTCTCTAGCCTCTCCAAGGCCTTTGTGATCCATGGCTGACTCTTGCTTATGTTCTTTCCTGTCACTTGTCAACTCTTCCACCACTTCTCCTCATCAGACGTTCTAACCCTGCCCTAGTAAATTATCCTCTGTTAATCCAATGAGGATTGACTTCAATTCCCTTTGCTTGGTATAGCCCTTTTTCTTTCCCCATGAAGCCTTCCCTGATACGTCACCTCCTCTATGACGGTCTCAGAGCAGCACGTATTTAATCGCTTTATAAAATTGTTTGTGTGTTTATCTATCCCGGTAGTAGACTAAAAGCTCCATGAAATGAGAGACTGTTTCACTCATTAACCACAGTCTCCCCAGAGCCCAGCAGAGCATCAAGTATATAAGTTCAATAAGCATTGTTTTAAAAGGATGAAGAAAATCAATAAATAAGTGCATCATACACCAGACAAAAGCAAACTCCTTAGGAAAATAACACCTAGATTAAATGCATTGGAAATATGTGAGAACAAATGCTATGCCAGGGAAACCACCTTTTCCCAAAAAGGAAGAGGAGAAGTAGGAAGAAGAGGAGGAGGAGGAGGAGGAGGAGGAGGAGGAGAAAATGTTCATTCATTAGGAATTTACACTTGTAACCTTTCGAGTTTCTTTTGGGAGGAAAACTGGATATGAAGGTCTGGTAGAGTAGAGACGGCTTGCGCTATGTATCCTTTTGAAGCTTTTTAATTGTATCATGTATTTAAAACCTATTTTAAGGGGTTTAGTGTGTATAGTTAGGCAACAGAGAGTTTGCCCAGCATGTGAGGCCCTAGGTTCAGTCCTGGTACTACAAATAAAAAATAAAGGAAGCTTGATATAGTTAGTGGCACATGCCTTTCATTTCCAGCACTCTGGAGGCAGGGGCTGGCAGATCTCTGTGAGTTCAGCCTGGTCCACCAGCCATAATGTATATAATAAAAACTATAATAATAAAGTAAACAAAATAAAATGTTTCTATATTTTTATCAAATTGACCTGGTGGACAAGCTTCAAAGCAGAATGCTTTGTATCTGACAGCTATAGTAATGAAAAATCAACTTGTTTTTAAAAAGTTATGTAAGAGTCTCAGAAGAATAGATTACTATAAACTCAGCCAACAAGGAGTATTTGAGTTTGTTGATTGATCTCCACTGCTTGGGTACAGTAATGACAGTAATCCCCAAGGTCTGAAGGTGAAGACAGGACAGCATCACAAGTTCAAGGCCAGCATGGTCTACACAGTGAATCTGAGAACAGCCAGGGCTATATACATAGCAAAACCCTGTCTCAGAAGAAACCAAAACCGAGAAATAGAATAAAAATAAATTTATGTCTCAAAAAGAGGGGAGGGGAGGCATTTTTCTTTTAGATAATACATGTTTACTTTTCACGCTTACTGAACCCTACTCACTCAGTCATACACTAAGCTGTAGAGAAGGCAAAGCCCACTTCACCTCATCTTCTCCTTCCTTTTACGAGTACAATGAGTCTCACCCCATCAACAGCTTTTGCTTCTCAGAGTCTTCTTAAGACTTCCATTCTTAAGACTCCGATTTTGAAAACTTGGTCCAGAAGTGTAGATCTAATCACGGAGGAGTGACTGGATCATAAGAGTGACAGCTTCATCAGTGGTTCATTCACTGATGAACACATTGGTAAATGTGCTATTAACGTATAGATGGAGCCAGGCATGGAAGCGCACACCTTTAATCCCAGCCTCAGAAGGCAGAGGCAGGCAGATCTCTGTGAGTTCGAGGCCAGCCTGGTCTAGAGTAAGTTCAGGACAGCCAGGGCTACACAAGAACCCTATCTCAAAAACAACAACAACAAAAAAGCTACGGACTAATTGGAGACAGCAAACCACTTAAGGTGTGCCTTTGAAAGGTATTCCTGTCCCTGTCCCTTCTGTCACTGTCCCAGCTTCCTGGCTGCTGGGAGGTAAGCAGTCTCCTTCTCCAGGCCTTCTCTAGCATATGTTCTGCCTTGGCTCAGGCCCAAAGCAATGGAGCTACTATCAATCACAGAGAGAAACTTCTAACATCACAAGTTGAAATAAATCCTTCCTCCCTTGTCTCCATAGATATTTTATCAGAGATAAGCAAACTAACACAAGTCTTCACATACCAGGATCCCATTAAAAGGGCTGCAAAACATGTAAAACTGCTCTAGGAAAGGACCATCCTCTGGACTTTGAATATATATGTGTAAATAAGGACTACGTGTCCTGATTCTGGATAACGTACATACCTTTCCCCAAATGGTAACTGTCAGTTTCTCACTGCTCTTTCACCTACACTGCATTTTTACTAGCAAGGAGGAGGAAGATGCTATGAACAGATGAATCCCGACTCTACCCACAAAGCTATGGGAAGAGACCTGAGCTGCCTCCCTTCCTGAGAAAAGGCTGCCACTTAGACTGTGAGAGGCAGCCTCCCCATCTCCCCTGCTGAGAACTCGACAAGCTGCAGCCTTCAAACACACAGACACACACACACAGGCAGGGTTAAGACGTCAGACCTGTGGGTTTTTTTCACCCAGCTCCTGTACTCACAGATAGGAGAAAAACTGGTTAACAGTTTTTAGACAGATTCCAAAGGCAGTCGCCATGTGGTAGCCTCCTCTCGCTCAAAAGCAGCCCGATCTGAGCTCACATTCTCCCCGGAGCCTCCTATCACCGCGCCTGTGCACCAGCACCCTTCCACCAGCCTCTCTGCGTGCCTTCTTCTCTAGCACAGCACCCATGTCCAGCACCTTAGCACCAGAGGCTGCTGATACCTGAGAGACAGGCGCTGGGCTCGGTCCATGAAGAGCATGCTCCATCTCTGCTGTTGGAGTCTTTGAGAGATCAAGACCAGGGGCTGAGTGCAGTCTCCTCCCCACGCCATCTGCAAAGCCTAAGGAAGAAGACATAAAAACAAGCTGAAGCCATTTCTCCTCTGGGGCCTGAAATCTGAGACTGGAAGCACAAGCACCAGAGTTCTTTTACTAAGTAATTAATATGCATCTCTGAATCCAATGGGGAGCATGCTCTTTGAATCGATAAACAGCAAATCTCAGAATATGGATAAATTCCTATCGGCCAAAAACTACTAAAGAAATTGCTAAGAAAGCAGCTCTAAAAACCATCTGCTGAATATCCTCCATCCTTCAACATTTCTCCTATGAATAAAATCAGTTTTGTTTTGTTGTTTCTTTTCAAAATCTATAGATGTGTAGTCTATAGAGGAAATTATCTGACATAGTGATCTTCTAACGTACTGTGGTAAGAAGAAAGGAAACAATTAGTATCTCTGGTTTAGTTCAAAATTTAAATGATCATAGTCATTGTAAACCTGCTTCCTTGGATATAACAGGGAAGTGAGTTCCAGAGTCTGATAGTGTTTTAACCAGAATTGGAACTCAATGTTTTCAATGTTCAGCACAGTATTCTATTATCTTCTGATGCCCTCCCACTCTCTGAGCAAGATCACTTCAGGAATATTTGGCATGTGTGATATTCTTTATTCCCACCTACCTTGGCTTTTCTCAATCACTTGAATTATAAACAACCATTAATACGGCTCTAAACTGATATGTGAGCCCCCCACCAGGGGCTGTCCCCAATCCAACTAATTAAGACTCTTGAAAATACACCTATCCTTGACCTACATTTGACACGCACATGCGTGCGTGTGCGTCCACCAATTCATGTCTGCTACTTTGATACATATGCATATGTACACAAACACACACATGGCTTCAATATACTGTTCATGTAAGTACTTCAGATCAATTATTTTGGATATTTCCTATTACTTAATGCATTGGTTCTCATAACAGTACTCATTTATCTGGGAACTTGAAAAAGCATACCTTCTCAGTTACAGTTCAGTTGTATAACACTTGCATACATGAAGCTCTGGCAGGTTCAATCTTCAGTGGATGGAAAGGGGGAATGGACAGGGAACAAAGACAAGACACCACAGATCTGACTCAGAATGTTTATGGTTGAACCTTGGGAATTTTTGCTTTGTTGCTGTTATTGTTGTTTTTCAAGACAAAGTTTCTCCGTGTATCCCTGGCTGTCCTGGAACTCACTCTGTAGACCAAGCTAGCCTTGAACTCAGAGATCTACCTGTCTCTGCCCGCTGAGTGCTAGCATTAAAGGGGCAAACCACAACTGCCTAGAGGAAGTTTTTATTTTTAAAAGGCCTTCTAACAAATAAAAAAATTTTAAATGTAGCCTGGTGTGATGACATACAACTGTAATCCCAGTACTTATGAGGTAGAGGATAAAGAAGTTCAAGGCCATTCTGAGCTACAGGAGAGTAGTTCAAAAAATGTAAATAAGGAAATAGAGAGCTGGAGAAAGAGTTTAGCAGTTAAGAGCACTGGCTAAGCTTCCAAAGGACCTGGGTTTGATTCCCAGCACCCACACAGTAATTCACAACCATGTGTAAAGCCTGTTCTAGGGAATATGATTCCCTCTTTTGCCCTCCACAGGTACTGTACACATATGGTGCACAGACATGCATTCCAACTGCTGCAGGTTGTCCTCTGAGCACAACCTGTGTGCTAAGACGCAAGCACATATATACACACTAAATAAATGTGTTAGTTTGTTTTCTTTTTGCACTACTTTATTATTTTAAGTGTATGAGTGTTATGTCTACATGTGTCTGTGTAGCACTTGCATGCAGTGGTCCCAGAAGCCAAAAGAGGGCACTGAATCCCTTGGAACTGGAGTTACACACAGTTGTGAGCTGCCATGTGGGTGCTAGGAATTGAACCTGGGTCCTCTGTAAGAGCAGCAAGTACTCTAAGCCACTAAACCATCTCTCAGTCCCATATAGCATTTTTTTTTTTTTAATTTTTATTTTTCCATGGTCTTGGAGATTGAACCCAGGGCCTGGTGCATGCTAATTAGCTACAAGTTCTACCACTGGTTCATACTAGGCTAGTAGTGTCCTTTGATGTACAAAAATTTAACTCTGATGTAGGAGTTTATCTTAATATTCCTCCTATAGCCTGTTTTCTTGGTGTCATATCTAAGAAACTGTTGTCAAATCCGGGTCTTAAGGCTTTTCTCAGAAGGGTTTTTTTTTTTTTTTCCCTGATTTTCATACTTCTACCTTGTAAATCTTTAGATTGAACATTCAAACTCAAGGCCATTTTTAAAACTTACTTATTTTTATTTTATGTGTATGGTGTTTTGCCTGCATCTATGTCTGTGCACCACATGCACACCTGGTGCCCCCAGAGAATAGAAGGGGATATCAGATTCCCTGGGACTGGAGTTACAGATGGTTGTGAGTCATCATGTGGGTGCTAGGATTGAACCTGGGTCCTCCTGAAGAGCATCCAATACTTTTAACCATTGAGCCATCTCTCAAGCCCCCATAAATGATTTTTTTTTCTTTAAGAAAGAAATAATATACTGCCTGATATGTTACAATGACTACAATGTGACTAGGCACATTTTAGTTTATAATAATGATCTTATGTAAAAAAATTAAAATCTTGTGAGGAGGGGAAACTATGTGTGGAGATGTTATGGCAGAATCAAAATTGGTCTTTTGTTCATAAAGTACCAAGTTAATCACCTTGGAAACTGGTAAAAAGTACTTGAGAGTTTAATTATAACATTCACTTTTACTGTTTTTAACACATTAAAATTTTTCTTTTCTTGATTTTGGAAACAAGAGTTTCACAATGTAAGCCTGGCTGACTGGAACTCACTGTGTACACCAGACTGGCCTGGAACACACTGCTGCCATCCAAGCACTGGGATTAAAGATGTGCAACAGTACATGTGGCTTGCATTTTTCTTCACAAAAGCTACTTTTAATGTTTTAATAGACATAGATACAAAGATTTCTGTGCAACTTGAAGGTACTACAAAATTTAGAATATAAAACAAAAGCAGAGCTTATACAATTCTTCAGAAACTAATTATGTCAGTATTAATCAGGTCACAAAACATCAAACACTGATTTCACTCATAGGAAATGTCCAGAACAAATCAATGTATATAGGAAACATTTGCATTTCCTTGGAGTAAGGGAGAGGGACAAAGGACAAGAGGCACAGAACTGTTGCTGGATAGGAGACGTCTCTGGAAGGTGATGAAAACCCTTTAAAACTGGTTGTGGTAGGCAGTTAAGAGCCCTGGCTACTCTTGTAGGTTCCCAGCACCCACATGGTGGCTTATAACCATGTGTGACTACAGTTCCAGGGGATGCCACGCCCTCTCCTGGTATGCAGGTACCAGGTATGCACACTGTATGCAGACATATGTGCAGGTAAAATACCTATAAACATAAAATAAGATTGGTTGTGGTAAGCTGGCATAGTATTTGCCTTGAATCCCAATACTCTGGGAAGCTGAGGGAAGAGGATCCCCATAAATTTGAGGATAGCTTGGGCTACATTATGAGTTCTATACTAACCTGGACTACAGTCTCAAAACAAGAAAAAGTTTTGCAATAAAAAAGGTCAAAGGTAAACTTATACTGTGGAAGTGATGACCTGATGCTTTGAGTTCCTCCAGTCTTGAATTCATGACAGACTTGAATTACAATCCAAAACAAACCATAGGGAAAAGAAATTGCTAGTTTATACATTTTTAGAATTATCTAAAATGAGAAATGTTATAGTAAATTGATTTTATTGTTTGTTTACTTTTGGGACAGAGTCTCACTATGTATCCCTGGCTGTCCTGGAACTCACAGAGATCTGCCTACCTCTGCCTCCCAAGTACTGGGATTAAAGGTGTGTGCCACCACGTCTGGCTTTATTTTAAGTATTATAAAAGTTTTCTGGTTTTGTTTTATTTTATGTTTAACATTCAAATAGTTTAATTTTGTAATGCATTATTGTAGGAGATACTAGCTTATTTACTTTTATGTGTGTCTATGATGTATGTGTATGTGGGTACACAGAACAACTTTGTAGAGTCAGTTCTCTATGTCCATCTTTTTCTCTTAAAAATTTACTTATTTTTGGCCGGGCGGTGGTGGCACACGCCTTTAATCCCAGCACTTGGGAGGCTGAGGCAGGCGGATCTTTGTGAGTTCGAGGCCAGCCTGGTCTAGAGAGCGAGATCCAGGAAAGGCGCAAAGCTACACAGAGAAACCCAGTCTCGAAAAACCAAAAAAAAAAAAAAATTATTTATTTTTATTTTATGTATGAGTGTTTCACCTGCATGCATGTCTGTGCACCACATGAATGCAGTGCTCACAAAGGCCAGAAGAGGGCATCAGTTGTGACCCAACATGTGGGTGCTGGAAATTGAACCCATGTAGTCTTAGTCTGGAAGAGCAGAAAGGGTTTTTTGATTTGTTTTTGTTGTTATTTTGAGACACGGTTTCTCTGTGTAGCCCTGGCTGTCCTCGAACTCATTCTGTAGACCAGGCTGGCTTTGAACTCACAGAGATCCACCTGCCTCTGCCTCTGGAGTACTGAGATTAAAGGGGTGTGCCACCACTGCCCAGCAAGCAGAAACTATTCTTTCTGTGGGTTCTGGGAGTCAAGTTCAAGTTGCTAGAGTTGTGCAGAAAGTGCCTTTTCTCACTGAACTATCTCAGTGGCATGATACTATTCTTAATACTTGATTTGAACTTGATGTCTTCGAATTCTTTTGCTCTTTCATTAGAAGAAAGATCAGTGAAGTAGATTCCAGGTTTTCTGCATTCATTAAAATCTTTCCATATTAACTTGTCTTGTGTACCTAAAGAGTACTTAGAAAATGTTATTGTAAAATCTACACTAGAATGCAGCTCAGAAACAGATAACGTCAACTCTTAAGTATATGCAGTTTCCAAGGAACATACATGGCAGTGCCTGGAAGAACCAGAGAAGGTCTTCATATTGCTAGCTTGGTAAAATCGGAAAATGCCATAGCAGAGACTTGGTTTAGTGTGGCTATCCTTGTTTCAAGATGAACCTGGAGCCTGATTCTTGGATTAATTTAACATCTAAAACACACACAAAAAAGAGGACTCTTTTCAGCCTTCCCCATTTCACGCTAACTCACTCTCACTGACCTATGAACTACTTCTTTACACTACATTCTGGAGAGCCCACAAGCAAATACTTACGTGGTCATTCCCTTATAAGGAAGGGATCACTCTCTTAGGGATTATTCTGACCCCATCTCCATTCTGGCAGGAAGGAAAAGGGGGAAAAAGCCTAGCCCTTGTCCTGAGGCTGTAGGAGGAAAGTCAGAAGTTTTATTGCATCTAAGAAAGATAGTGATGCTGTACAGAACACTACCCCTCCTTTGATCTTGTTCTCTGGCTTTCAGCTTTTATATATCCCCACCACTGCTTGTATTTTTACCTGTTTGGTTAAGAGGCTGCCAAGCCACATCCTGTGACCTCCATTCAGAACAGCCAGTTCGAGAGGCCTGAAGACTGGCTTGGTAGAGAGACTCCAATTCAGAGGTCTCCTGCTCTGTGTCTTGGTTCCAGTGTGGATGCAAAAGGATGTGATTTCTCTCTGGGTAGGTTACACATGTATGGGAATCATGGGAGGAGGACTTGATTCCTGGCCCAGGGCCCCTGTGTTTAACCTGAGAATCACAGAGCCTTGTGACGTTTACCCAGGAATCCAAAGGCAAAGAAGTCCCCAAGATGACACTGCTACCCAGCTCCTTAGGCCTAGTATCTGTCACTTGGGATAGCCTTCCTTGGTATATATGTGGCTCAGCCAACCTGGGCTGTCCTCTTCCAGCGGTGTCTCCATTGGGAAGCCCAGAGTCCATGGCAAGAGGAGGATGATCAGCAGCATCTTCCCAGGAGGGCAGTCTTTCCCTGCCATCTAGAGAAGGCTGCTGTTTTACCCAGTGACAGTGGTCTTTTCCTGGACCCTGGTGTAATGGAGGCATCAAGTCAGAAGGAGAGTTCTTCCTTAGACCATTTGGCAAACTTCGATCCTGGGAACCTATAACATCCCTCATGGAGGTATTCTGCATCTTCTGGAACTGCTCTGCCAATGAGCGGACAAGTCCTTTTGTACTGGGAAACTCTGGCCTATAGGGCTCCTCACTGCCTCTGACCACCTTTGAAGTCAATGAAGTTTGGAGACTTTGGGCTTGAAGATGTTGGTTAAGTTTCTGCATGGGGTCAGTAGCATGAAGCTCAGGTGAAGAAGCAGCAGACATTATGGGGTGGCAGGCTCTGTAAGGAGGAATACTAGGCTGAGCTGATGAACCTGAAGGACTATTTAGGCTATGTATAACTATCTCAGAAGTGGCTTCTCCTGTTGAATGGGACCAAGGCACCACCATGGATGTGTCAACAGGGCGCTTCTTTTCTTCGAACAGCCTATCTCCAACTATGTCTCTCCCTTCTGGTGGTGGGAATTTGCTGCAGCTGCTGCTGTCCTCCCTGTGGCCTTGGAGCTTATCTTCAAGGGCATCCAGTGGCAGGCATTCATGCTGAGAATTCCTCTCAATTCTACCTGCTGTTGTAGGTAACTCCTGCCTGGGGAATGCAGAGGGATTAATGCTGTCCACCTCAAATGAGGTCAGAAGCTTCAAAGATCTACTAGGGGAACTGTGCTGTGAAACAGAGGAAACAGGCGACTCCAGGGGGAGGGATGGGTGTGACTCATGGCAGGAAGCAGGTGAGTGGAAGAAGGTAGAACTGGCCCCACACTCTGTTTCCCGGCAGGGATCCAGCTGTGCCTCCTGGTTTAACAATACTTGGAGCGGGACAGGCTGCTCACTGAAAGAAATGGAGAGAAGCAGTCATAAGGTGCCTTGACTAACTATAACACTTCCAAAAAGAACTATTCACTCCTCCACTTACAGCTATTCAAAGATACAGTGACGAGAACGAGAAAGACAGACACAAACAGAGCCACAGGTCCCCAAAAGAAAAAGAAGGTAGTATTATCTAGCCAATGTCACCACCAAGTTCGTATCTGTGGTATTAAGTACAGTCTTTGCCAATACTCTCCACTACCTGTGAAGTCCCATTCCAATCACATTCTTCCTGCAAATTAAAAAAACAGAAACTGCTTTTCCCACATACGATGACACAGAAGGGAAGCCTATGAATCGCTCATACCATACAACAAAATTCCCAGATGCTATATAAGGAGGGAAATCCTCCTCTAGGGTCCTATGGGGCAGCTCGGTAAAAAAGGAAAAGTATACTATTATTATAGAGTACAAGGTGATACGGATTCCTGGGATACACAGAAATCACTCTGATGTTTCCTCACAGTCACAGTCTCTTCACGCTGAGGAGTGGGAATCGGAACAAACTGCAGTTAGTTGACTCTCATTGTTTTCTATTTCTGACCAAAACATGTGCAGTCTTATAGGACACTGCAACCTTTCCAACTTTAGATTATCAGATCAAGATTAAGAATCTGAAAATCCAAAACCAGAATGCTTCAAACTCCAACTGTTTTTGAGCACAGACACAATAATGTAGTAAATATGGACCCGGGAACATCTCAGACTTCAGATATCAGGGCTGAGGGTATTCAACCTATCTCTGTGAGTGTTTCAAAATCTGAAAGAAAAAAAAAAAGAGATCTGAGCTGTGTGGCCCAACATTTAGGAACCAGAGACAGAAGAATTGTAGTAGGCTTGAGACCGATACAGACTACCTCGCAAGTTCCAGGCTTTGTAAAGCAAAACCCTATCTCAAAAAATAAAGAGAAAAAGGTAGAGGGAAGAAAGAGGAAGGGAGGAAGGGAAAAGGAGAGAGAGACAGACACAGAAAGACAGAGATACAAGAGAGAGCTAGAGAGAAAAAGAAAGAGACAGAGACAGAGAGAAAGGGAAAGAGACAGAAAAATGAACGACATAAAAACAGAGAGACACACAGAGAGGAAGAGAGACAGAGACAGAGAGAGAGAGAGAGAGAGAGAGGCAGACAGACACGGACTGACTTCTGGTCTCAAGCCATTTTAGATAAAAAGATTCAACTTGTATATTACAAATGTTTGCAGGTTTAGTCACCCGTCACTCTTACAACACGAATGTAACCCTCTGCAGGACACCTTGGGTTCAACCACAGAATGGAGGAGACGAGGGTGGTGGCAAACAGGTCTGTAACACTAGCACTCCAGAGGCAAAAGCAAGATCAGGAGTTCAAGGCCTCCAGGCCCTAGGTAGCCTGGGCTAGAAGAAATTCTGTCTCAGAGGTAGGAAAAGAGGAGGGAAGCAGAGAGAAAGGGGAAAGCCTTGGCATCCAACAGATCTAGATTCGAGTTCTATACTTCTACAACTTACTAGCTAAGTAACAATCTTCTCTGCAGTTCCCTTACTCAGAAAGCATGCTAGCTTACAGCCCACATTTCATCAGGGGCTGTTACCATGTAATAACAAAATAAAGCAGAAAGTGCTTGGCTCTGAACTGACCCAGGCAAATGCTCAAAAATGCCAACAAACATAATGGGGCAGATAGTCAAAAGATAAACAACCAAGGCAGAGGATGTGTACCTCACTGGTAGAGCACTTGTCTAGTAGTATATACAAATTCCTGGGTTCCATCCCCAGCAAAACACACACACACACACACACACACACACACACACACACACACCCCTGAAAAGAAAAAGTTATCTGCTTTTATTATACTTATATTTTGAAAACTATTCAAATTTATTACTAGCCAAAGTTAATTTTTACTTAAATTCATTTATTCTACATAAAAGCCAAATTAAAACCCCTAAAATACGGGAACTACCCCAGTACCTCTTGGGACTTTTTCCCAGTCCTGACCTTAGGGAAGCAAACAAAGAAAATCTCTGTGTCCCTTCCCTATGGTTTAATCAAAGGAAGATAAACCGGTTTTTTTCTCTGAGGAATGGGAAACACTAAAATCCCAAAATTAATCAAATGTTTGCTACTACATGAAAGGCAGACCAGATCCCATAAGAACATAATGAATATAAATATAATAATCGTGCTGTTCTGCAAGTCCAGGAAATTTGGAGAACTTGTTACTTTGTACTTTTTTGCATCTTTCTAGGAAGCGTTAAGAAAAGGACCATCTATGTAATGAGCTTTTGTATCTCTGACCTGAGAGAAGAAAATCTTAGCAGTGTATTTTCCTCTCTTCCCTGGTAATGGAGAAGACACTAGTTCGCGCTACGGAGCACCCATGATCACTTCCTCCCCTGATGTCCATCAACTAATGTGGTTCTCAAGCACTACCTTGTCAGCTGAGGGAGGGCGCCCCCCTGTGGTGGGAGAGAGGCTGAGGGCTGCACCGGCTGCTGCGATGATGGTTGCTGCTGCATGCGATCCTGCAGGCTTCGTGCTTTTCGAATACTGATTTGCAACTTCTTATCGACTAGGGCTCTGCTGTGCGTGCTAGAGCTGGCACCATGCAGGGTAAGTCTTAGTTTAGCTAAAATGCAAAAGAAAATATAGCAGAAACAACACAAAATACGAACAAAAATAAAAGAACAAAAACTAAACCAAAACCAAGCAGATAGGCGGTAAAACAAAATATGCAGCAGGAATGCAAGGCATGGACTATGCATGCGCTGTCCAGGGCGCAGAACTGGCTCGGGCTCTGGGGAACATTCATGGAAGCCATGGAGGCCAAACATGTTAATTCAAATTTAAACAAACAAAACACTAAAGAAAATAAAACAAAACTTAAAAGGAACCAGGAAGATAAACTAGTGCTTGGAGGTTGCCACTCTTATCTTTTCACTGACCTGTTTGACTCTGGTCTCCACACTCTGCTCCCAACTCCCCTTTCTGATGGCCAACAGCAAAAAAATAATATCCAAACCTGCATCTGTCTTTATAGAGACAGCTTCGTGGGGGTCATACTCAAGAGTCAGATACCAGTTCCTAGCCTTAGTCCCTTGCTGTTACATCATGGTACTGCATACCAGGAAGGCAGGGGAGAAACAAAAAGAATGGAATATGACAATGAAAAGGTACTGGCCCAGGAAGTCAGAGCCAGTTCACTCAGTCTTGCTACTCATCAGGCAGTGACTATAGGAAGAGTGGGCTAACCTCATTTCTGAAATCTAACTATGTTTTGGGGGAAAAAGCCGACACAATTGATGAATTCATCTGAGGCTTCCTGTTGAGGTTGTTCCAGTAAATGTCCACAAACCAGTGACACCACCAGGTACACTTTGAACTCTCAAGGGCAAGGATAGCTAACTGGCCTCAACTTGGGAACACAAGAGACATTAAAAACTGTTCACATGGCCATCTGCGTGACAACACAAGTACCTACTGTGGAGTTAGTCGAAAATGCCACAGCCGGAGCAGCTGAGTTACTTACAGATAGCTTCGTTACAGAGAGCCAAAGCTGCAGCACAGTCTCCCTTTTGTTCCAGATGCAGCGACTCTTCAAATACTGAATTTGCCTCTTGCAAGGACCTTTCAAAGCCGTCACTCCTCCCTGAAAGGGTCAGCACTTTTCATTTTTATTATAATTAATTCCAACTTCTCCTATGACTGTTTCTTTTCTTTGGGACACACAGATCCTTGTTGAGCCACTGACCTAACTGTCCACTGCTATTAAGAAGTCTTTAGAACATGTAAGGCATCCACTTTTGCCTTAACTGCGACCTAACCAATGCCAGAAAAAGGGAGGTACGTGACTGCCACATTCACATTCCAACTCTAATACGTCCTCAAGGAAAGAACAACTGTCCATAGTAGCAACATGACTCTTAGTCCTGGAACTGAACAGCTCTACCACGAAATGACAAGACATACCTTGTCAACTACCATCAGAACACCCCAGACTTCTACTGCTGTAATGGCAACCATGGTTTAACTAATCTGTAGAAAGTCATCCAAACCACTCCCTCCTAGAGCTACATTTCTCTCTCCACCACTCTGCTCTATCAATACACCTCTTGGGAAGAGGAGGTCTATAGTTTCTATTTCAATGTATCTACCACAGCAGGTGAACTGCATTTGTACATGGACTGACCTTTCTGTAGCAATACAAAGTTTTGCTTTCATCATGCCTCGCTCACCAAAAGTATCCCAAAAAGCCACCTCCCATATAACAAGCATGGGCTAATTCTCCCTACTCCCAAAGTGCATGTGGGTCAAGGTAAGTACAAACAAGTATCCAGGAACAGTGCCAGATGAAAGGACTAAGAAGTATAGTACAGACAACTTTGTGAAGGATGTCTAGTATCCTTACCTTCTGTTCCTCTATAAGCATAAACTGGTGGTAAGTTAGAATGTGAATTCACCATGGTTGGAACTGACAATGAGCTTTCACTTGGTCACAGGGTTTGGAAGAATGAATTTCCAGACAGGTATGATGGCACATGCCTATTTTCCCCAGCACTCTGAAGGTAGAGGCAGGAAGATCCCTGATCTACATAGCAAGCTGCCAGCCAGACACAGTTAAATAATGAGATACTGTCTCAAAAAATCAAATCAAATCAAAAATGAAGCAGAATAAAAAGTCTGAGTCGTTTCTCTTCATAATGTCACCCTTCCCCTATCCTCAACTTACCTTCAGATGGGCACTGTGGTGACATATTTGTGTACCCTAATAAACTTGCCTAAGAATCAGAGGACAGAGCCAGCCACTAGATTAGACAGAGGTCAGGCAGTAGTGGCACACACCCTTAATCCTCTAACTCGGGAGGCAGAGATCCGTCTGGATCTCTGTGAGTTCAAGGCCACACTGGGCTACATGAGATTGATCCAGTGTAGGAGAGAAAACAGCTAGGCGGTGGTAGCCCACACCTTTATTCCCAGCACTTGAGATCTCATGCCTTTATTTGGGAAGCACAGACACCTTTAATCTGAGGAAGTAATAGGGCAGGGCAGAGAAAGATCTATAAGGCATGAGAAAACAGGAACTCTGTTTAGACTGAGGATTTCATAGAGGTAAGAACTAGTGGCTGGCTGATTTACTTCTCTGACCTTTCGGCTTTTACCCTGATAACTGGCTCTGGGTTTTTTATTATAAGACCATTTAGAAATTCGAACAACAGGGCATAATAAGAAAGGCTCGGCTACAACTTTAACTAATCCACATCCTACTTCATTTAGCTTTTAGAAAGCAAGAAGGGCCAGGCATGGTGACGCAAGCCTTTAATCCCAGCATTCAGGAAGCAAAGGCAGGCAGATCTCTGTGAGTTCGAGGCCAGTCTGGTCTACAGAGTGAGTTCCAAGATAGCCAGGGCTACACAGAGAAAGCCTGTCTGGTGGGAGAGGTGGGGACAGGAAAGAAAGAAGAGAAGAAAAACAAAAGAGCAAGAAGACAGTAGAAAGCAGATTGGTTCTGAAAACCTTGGCAGTCAATTTCTCCCCCATCTCTAGAACTCTGATTTCCCCCAGCCCTAGACCCTAAATTCTTTCACTACAATTAGAATCAATTAAATCAATTAGAGGTGGTAGCTTGAAAAAAAAAAAAAAGGAGGAGGTTGGGGGGGTGGGAAGGCCAGGCATGGAGGTACACACATATAATCCCTTCAGAGGCCCAGGGAAGATAGTGAGACCATGTAAAAGTTCTCAATTTTACAAAGATCTAGGCAAACTATAGTTAATGAATCAGTATGCTAGCTTTAATTTTTTTGGGGGGGGCAGGTTTTCAAGACAGGGTTTCTGTGTAGTTTTAGTGCCTGTCCTGGAACTCGCTCTGAAGACCAGGCTGGCCTTGAACTCACAGAGATCCGCCTGCCTTTGTGTCCAGAGTGCTGGGATTAAAGGCTTACGCCACCGCCACTCAGCCCAGATTGAAATCTTTATCATCTAGAATCTCAGCACTCCATGCTTTGCTCTTCTAGTAAGGCTGCACCAAAAGCATATATAGAGAGCTGACAAGGAAACATAACCAGTAGGATTCACTTTAACGCGCGGTTTAACTAAGAGTCGGGAAAGGACAAAGAGAAACAGCAGAATTATAACTTTACACCAAGGCACAGCACACAGGCCTGTAATCTCAGCACTTGGGAGGAGGACCACAACAACTACTAGGCCAACTTCACCTACAAAGTGAGTTCTAGGCCAGCCAAGGCTAGAAAGTGATGAGACCAGATCTCAAACAAGGAGAGTTAAAAAGGCTGAGGAGATGGTTCAGTTTGCCCTACAAGTACACATGAAAAAAAGCCAGGTATTGGAGTATCCATTGGAATCCTAGCACTGGGAGGCAGAACTAGGTGTGTGCTTGTGTTCACTAGCCAACCAGATTAGTCTACTTAATTAGGTTCCAGACTAAAGAACATACCCCCCTGGGGGTGGACAAGATCTAGGGTTGTCCTCTGGTTCCACATGCACTCACACACATGTGTACCTGCACACATACAAACATAGACACACAAAGAATAGTATAAACTGGAACTTCAGACTGACAAAACTTGAGTTCAAAATGAAAAGTAGACGATCCAAATATAGAAATCGCTAAGAGGAATTGAAATTATAAAGCTCTTTTTTTAAATTTTATTTTTGATTTCAATGAGACAGGGTTTCTCTGCTATCCTGGAACTCACTCTATAGACCAGGCTGGCCTTGAATTCAGAGATCTGCCTGCCTGTGCCTCCTAAGTGCTGGAACTAAATCTGTGAGCCACGACACCAGGCTTTAAAGTGTATTTTGAAACAAACACAACAAATAACTTGGGAAATAGAAGACAAAAATTGTCCTGAATCAAAAGGAACTAGGAGGTAGGGAATGTAGCTCAGCAGTAGAGAGCCTAGCAAGGGTGAAGCCCTGAGTTCAATCCCTAGTATCACAAAAAGGAGAGAGAGGAGAGAGGGGGGAGAGGAGAGAGAGGGGAGAGGGGAGAG